ATCAGTGCCAAGATGGCGTCGAGATTAAGACGGTGACCATTGAAGAAGTTACGGAATTAAAAGAAGCGGCAGAAAACTTAAATACGTGAAAGAGCACAATTAACTGGGTGAGGATTTTTGAGAAGTGGTGAGACGAAAATAGACTTGAGAGAAACCTAGAGATGAATCTTCCTGAGCAGTTGGATAGCTGAAGTACTCGAACGGTTTTACGCCTTCTTGTGTAAACAAGACAGAACCGATTACGAACCTGGGTCCCTAAAACTGATTATCTAACCTCTCAGTCCGGAAAACAGTGGTCAGAAAGCTGAAGGCCAAGGGAGTTCCAACTCAGTGGCCACGTTTACAATTTCCACAATTGTAATGTGGTGATAAACCAAGGACATGCCGGGCAGGCTAACACTTCGTGCACAAGAAGCCACGATGTATAATTTGTCCGCAACCATGCACCTTGCCAGCTCTGAAGGTTTTTCAACTTTGTGCATTTTCGCTTGACTTTCATTTAAGCAAGTTTTCTTAGACCAGAAAGTAAATTTTTAGTGATAATTTCACTTCAAAATGAATTGTCAAAACTTTATATGGCCTCGTGCAAAATTTTAGTTTCAGCTCATTTCAACGAGCGCCGTTGTCATTTCATTCATCAGTTCATGACGAATTAGCTAGAGCCAATCATTTAAGAAAGATTTGACAGTTGTCTTAATTTTGAAACATTATGAACAAGCACGAAGAATTCGAAAGGTCGTTTTTGAGAAGAAACTCAGAAAATTACGAACTCTAGCAATAATGTGTGCTTTAAACTAAAACTATATTCTTCTTAATGTTCTCGGTTTTCTGGCGATAGAATAAACCAGTAAAAAAGTTACGGTTGTGAGCGTAATTTGTCAACCACAATATTAAAAGGTAATCAAATGGTTTTCTCGTAAAATTAGGAAATAATTTCACTTACGTTTTGTCAAAATTCTGATAATTATCAGAATTTTGACAATTATTTCCTAATTTCACTCGTCACCATTTGATTACACATACTAATCGCTGTAACACACGGCACGTCTTGTCGTTACACCAGATACTGTTGAGATTACAATCTCAGAACGAAAATAGACAATCTCAGCTTACACTCGAAACCTTGAACACACCACTTAAAGCAGGAATACGTTTCAAGAGTTTTCAAAAATGCAAGGTTTTCCACGTCTATTAATTGCAACATTTATCAATTAAGTAAATGCCTCATAGCTATGCGGTAAGGTGGAATGGCGACTTCAATAAAGTGAATAAGCTTTCAAGTTCAGTTGCTCTAAAAACAAGAATTCTGAGTCACTCAACGACAGCACAGAGCAAAGTCACCGAAAGAACTAGGCTCACTGACATCTTTCAAACGCCCTTTTAGATTGTCAGATTCAATAATTTTAGAGCTGAGCGACACGCCCATAGTTCGGTGGTTGGATCATCCAAACTGTACCCGGACGGTCACTGGTTTGACTTTCATCTTTTAGACCAGGAAGCTTTCTTTCTTTTGGAGGAATAGGAATGAAGCGTTTTGTGTTATTTAATCTCTTTTTAAATAATGTGCATCTCATTCAAGCATTGTTTTAATTGTAAATTTATTCGTGGAAACACTCAACCCCCCCACCCATCCTTCGAAAGAGCCCAAAGAAGCGTCGTTTAGTTATTCCTTCTTTCCTGTTGATAGTGTTTTCTTCCGCTCAAATTGGCACAAAGCCCTGACTGATTTGTTTTCAAAATCAAAACTTGATGATACACTTACGGTTCTTTTTATTTCAGTGTTCTTGATAGCGCCCTTCTGGTGGCTGTCTCACATGACTGAGATGCCATTTGGACAACAGAAGAGCTACACAACGCTTTTGGTGTACGGATCCATTGTTACGGGCTCCTTGCTTCTTACGCTAATATCCTCGTTCTGTTTCTACCTCGCTGCTCTAAAAGCTTCAGAAAACCTCCATGACCAGATGACAAAAGCAGTTATGAAAGCACCAGTGCTATTCTTTGACACTAATCCGGCAGGTCGCATCTTAAACCGTTTCTCTAAAGATGTTGGGTGCATGGACGATATCCTTCCAGGAGAATTCCTTTTTGCCATTCAGTTGTGTCTATACTTTTTCAGTGCTACCATACTTTCAGCAGTAGCAAATGTGTGGCTTTTTATCACTTGTACTCCGCTGACGCTTTTGTTTATTTACTTGGCTAAGTATTACTTGAGATCCGCCCGAGAGATTAGGAGACTTGAAGCGATAACATGCAGTCCAGTGTATTCCCTTATTGCTGATAGCTTGGCAGGATTGGAGATAATTCGATCATCAGAGATGCAGGAAGATTTCCTTCAGAAATTTTACAAGTAAGTATATACTGAAATTGTTACATGTTTACCTTAAAGGAAGTGCTGGGGTTCGAGAGCAGATTATATATCCCTCAGTAGGGTTTTTAACAAGGATGAAGAAAGTTTCAGATGGTGAGCAACCTTTATATTTGACAAAAGAGTGAAGATCAGCACTGACAGAAAACACCAACCAGGATTCCTTTTATCGGAATGATGCGTCTGTACTGCGTTTACTCATACGCAGATTTCTGACCGACCATTGTAGCGTAAAAAGTCCGTTTCGACGTGGCAAACTTGATGAATTTCCAATCTGCTTTTCTTAAATTTCTTTGGAGATATCAAGACAGAAACACAGCAGCCCTGGCATTATTGAAGGCTTCTATAGTTTGGCTCGCGTTTAGAGGAAACCTAGTGAGTAACTTTCTTGTGACTTCCGTGTCAGCTGGAGCTTTGTTAGCAACGCAGAGTCCTGGTAAGTACTTGTCACTGGGAACTTTCCATTCCAGCACAAATTCCAGTCTGAAATAGAATACAGTTCCACGACGACAAGAGGCTTTTCCTTGGATTCATCTGATCCTACAGGAGCCTTGTGAAATATAAAACAATAAGTCAAGCTAGAACCAAACATCATCCTTCAGAATTTTTCCGTTTGATCTCTCTCAAATTGGACATCACGCATTCTCATTGCATACAGTGTATGGTAGTATAAAATAAAGCAAAAGAGAAAGCCTTCGCTTTTGTTTTTA